ATATATATATATATATATATATATATATATCATATAAATATATATATATCTCATAAATAATTTAAACATATTATAATATTTTAGGTTGATTTTTACCGATTTTCTATTAGTTGGTCACGTGTCTTACCGACTGGTTACGCCAATGTGATTAATCAAGAGGGACTAGATTATTACAAAAATCTTACTAACGAATTATTAGCGAATGGTATCGAACCGTTTGTTACTTTGTTTCATTGGGATCATCCAACCGTCTTTGAAAGCATGGGTGGTTGGACTAATGAAATGATGGTTGAATGGATATCTGATTACGCAAGAATCATTTTCAAAGAACTCGGCCCCAAAGTTAAATACTTTATGACTATCAATGAACCTGCCGTTATTTGCAATGAGGGGTACGCTGATAACAGAAAAGCACCAGGTATATATTCTTTATACTTATCTATTATTTAACAAGAAATACCTCGCAAAAGATTCTTTTTAAAATGGAGTATGATTTTAGGAAAGAAATTAGGCTCGCCTGGGAAATATCTGTGCATGCATAATATTCTAAAAGCGCATGCCAAGATTTATCATATCTATGACACAGAATTTCGAGAACAACAGAAAGGCCAAATTGGTATAGTCGTATCTTGTTCAGGCGCATTGCCCAAAACATCTTCTGATACTGCAGCAGCAGATGCATATTATCAATTTAATTGCGGTTGGGTTGCCAATCCCGTGTTTTCAAAGGATGGTGATTATCCAGAAATTATGAAAAACCATATAGCTGAGAATAGTAAATTGGATGGTTTTCCGAGATCACTTTTGCCTGAATTTTCGCCAGAATGGGTGCAGTATATCAAGTAAGAAATACCAATGTTAATTACTTAGCAAACAAGCTAACGTTATTTGTCGTCATTTTTACGTCAAAATGGTATTAAAGGCGTCACAAATAAGGTCAGTTTGTTTGTTGAGTAATTATGGACCAATATTGTATTATATTTCTCGATTTTTATTATCTCATTTGTTTTTGAAAGAGGTACATCGGATTTCTTTGCATTAAATCATTACACTTCGAGACTTGTGGAAATAGTACCACGAACAGAAGGTCAAGCATGGTACGATTATTCTGGTGTAAAAGCGAGCATAGATCCATCATGGCCAAAAAGTGCTTCGGATTGGCTCAGAGTAAGTTAGCTAGTATAGAAGATGCATATTAATTGTGTGTATCAGACTAGTGGATATCAATTTTCGCGTGCTCGAAACTTTTGTTTTGTGTAGGACTTGCTAGGAATTCATTAATTTGACCCTGATAACACATCAGGCACAATTAAGTCATACAAATGATTTAACTTATTATTATGAATAATTCATTCTGTGAATTATTCATAACTTGTACTCAACGCCATAAATTGGAAATCAGAATCGAGTGTATTTCAGAAAATATGCATATTCGGCTGAATCGAACAGAACTGATGAAATTATGATGGATTATAGAGAAATTAGTAATTGACTATTGCTAAATGAATATTACGCTTTACGAAGTAAATGAATATTTTGCTTATTATGAATTGAATTGAATATATCGTCTTTCTTAAATACAATAAAATTACAAATTTAGTATAATTTGTTTAACTAAAAGTAAATTCAATACATATAAAATATTATTTATACTGATATGCAGAATGTGTAGAAATGTCATAAATTTTTAGGTTGTTCCTGTTGGATTTCGAGAGCTTATTAAGAAGATTTCAAGTGAATACGATAACCCAACTATCTTTATTACGGAAAATGGTTTCTCTGACAAATGTTGTACTACTGATTATTCAAGAATATCTTACTTGGATTCTTATATGAAAGAAATGTTAACCGCCATTCAGAAAAATGGATGTAATGTGAAAGGATATGCTGTTTGGAGTTTATTAGATAATTATGAATGGCAAAGTGGTTATACGTGAGTTATTATTTGATACGTTTTATGAGTGCCCTTTGAGAAAAAAAATGTACTTATAAAATTTTGTTCCGCACAGTGAACGGTTTGGATTGGTACATGTGAACTTTACGGATCCTAATCGAACGAGAACTCCAAAACGGTCCATGAACTGGTATAAAAATATCATTAAGAATGGGAAACTTTCAATTGATGAGTTAATCACAGTTAATATAGTTTGAAATCACATTTTTAAACAGATATGTTGGATAGATTTCTTGGATAATTCTACTATTTGTCTAAAACTATTTGTCTTGAACTAATCATTTATACATTTTATACAATACATATTGTATATATGTATTGTATATGTCACAAATATATCTTTAATGATATATAAAAATTTATAATCGTATATTATACATATAATATACATATATATGTAAATATATTTTTATTTTAATAAATTTAATTACAGATTTTCAATACATAAAATAATGAGCATCAAATTATTAAATTATTGCTAATCAATCTCATTTGTGATGTTATTATATGGTAATTTAGTTTCTAAGTCCCCAGAAAATCAATTCCGTGCGCAATTTGAGAGATTACAAACATGATACGTATAATTTATATTAAATTATTTAAAACACTTATGATCCAGCTTCGACCGGTATAGGCTTCTTATCATACTTATTATGTCAAAAATATCATTTTTATTTATTCGTCTCTGAAAGAGAAGCCGCCATTATTAATCTTTAATATAGACAATCGTGCCATTCGTGTCTTGTGCATTTCTTTTCTTTGAAATTATAGGAGCAAATAGCATATTATTAGTTGTAACGTTTATATATTTTTAATATCTATAGAACTGTACATATAAGGTCATTTTTACAACCTTATGCAGCAATAACAATTATAAAAATGATGTTGCTAACCATAATTATTTTACCATGCAACTATAGTCACAAATACGATATACTTTTCTCTCAGTGTACAATATCATTGTTAAAAAATTAATAAAATGCCAATTTAAAAAAAAGGTTTTAAAGCTTGAAATCTTTATTTTCAAAAGATTTTCATAATTTTTTAGTTCATGTAAATTTGGTATTTTTTACATATAGAAAACTACAAGCTGAAAAAAGGGAAATTTTTCTTTTTACTTTGTAGATCTGTACTAAAAAAAATTTGCAAAAATTTTTGATTTACTAACGTGAAAGTTAAAAGCTTTTCCTAAAAATTTCTTTTTAAAAAATGTTCCTAAGATTTTTTATCCTAAATTACCTATATTCGCGAGTTAAGTAAAGAAACATTTCAATTTCAATTGCTCATAACTCCGTTAAAAATCATTGTACCGCAATAAAAAAAAATGAGATTCATAAAACTGGAACTTTGCATTATCAAATGATACAATCGCTAATTTTTTTAATGTACAATATGCAATTTTGAGTTAATAAAATACTGCAGAACTTTTCTTCTAACCCAATACATCTTAGAATCACTTAATAATTTGTTTTGTATACTTGTGATAAAAATCAACCTGGAACAAAAACTATCCAGTGTGAGTAAAAGATTAAAAAACTGTGTTGACCACAAAACAAACCATTAAAACAAATTGTGGATATTAGGATTGTGGAAAATATCTACATTATTAAAAATATTTTCAAAATTATTTGTATACTAATAAAAGAACCAAATATACCTACATATATTCATAGTATAGGAACAATCAAAATGTCACAAGTAATATTATTTTTTGTAATATATATATATAGAATATATTGCGATCTACGATTGGTCAGATTGTAAGAAGCATCGGAGCAACCATGGCAATCGCAATTTGAAAAATAAAAGAAATAGGTACAGGTTTTCAAAAAGGAGTAATCGCATGCCATTACTCTCGGGAAATATCTTTCACCATGTTCAAAGCGAAAACCTTAGCAAAGTAACGAGTGCACTTTTAGTGGAACGAAGTAACTCATTATGGCATACAGTTTATTATTTTTATTCACACGAACCTTCAATCTAGTGAATTCCAATGGAACGCATTCTGAACGATTCCTACGATAAGTGCAAAATTTTATATACATGTGCATTATAACAAATTTTTATTTTAAATATTATGAAACATGTTAAATAAAAACAACCCAAGTAAATTTATTAAATCTAAATAAATCTACAATTCACTCTAATCAAAGTTATTAAATTACTCGTTAGGGTTAATATTATTATTACAATATCGTGCAATTCGTATAATATACGTAAGTGTCGTATATTTATAATAAATATAAGAAAATATATTTCTTGTAACTTAAAAATATGAAATAGTAATCGAAGGATGATAGGTAACAGGAGGAATGCGTAATAATTCAAGAAAAAGTAATGCTCCATCTTCGTTTAATCTGATGTCAGGTTTACTCTTTTGCGCCGGATAGATCGTATAGCTAGTAGGTAAGATAAGGCGTTAAACAAAAGCGGGTAGATCGAGACGGGTGAAGGGGTGCTGCGAATGCTTTCTGGTGCCTATCTCGTTTATACAGCTTTCTATGCACATCGTCAGCTAATAAAAAAAAAGGAAGGACGGAAATAACAGATCGCGCTTCGGCAAGCAGAATCTCGTGTAATTACCCAGGAGCCTCGTTGTACGTGCACTCGTATCACGTTCATCGATGCTCCGTGGAGAACGTACTCAAAGCCCGCTAACGAAAGGCAAGCGCGATACGTAAGAATAAATCTTCACGATCGGTAATAACACTGATTTATCCAATATATATATGCAATTTAAAAAAAAAATGATACGTCCTATTAATGTATTTAAGTTTTTTTTTTGTATTTTTATCACAATGTTCGCCTTAATGATATCGATCTCGATGTCAAACGTGGATAACACTGGCGCCGATATCGAGTGTACATGTTACTGATAATAACTGAATATTCGTCAGCATTTCCAAGCATCTTTGGTCATTCGCTATTGGTTCCACGGGTGTTAATTGCACCCACGTGATGCGTATACTGCCCCTCATCCTCATACACAATAATTTACGCATAATTGGTACAGTTTGGACAACTCGCAGCATATCAAATTATATCGTGTAAATACACGCGAACCCGTCTGCGTGTGCATAGTCCGTAACTCGATAATTATGTATTCGTACATATTAAACAGGCCGCGCGAGCCGACTCGACGATTTCGACGAAGTACTAAGAGGTGTCTAGACGAGAATATGCATACACGCCAACAACTCGGGCTGCTTGAAGATCGTTTACATTCTAATGTAAATATTGTATATGCACAATATATGTATACGTAGACCGAAAATCCGTGCCTTGGAATCCCATAGGTGAGATTAGCTGCGTACCGTGCGGAGAGTCGAACAAATTTCTGATGGTGGTGCCGTTTTTACGATTTATTTTATTGGCTCGATTAAAATGAACGGATCAAATGATATTTGATTCCTCGAACAGATCTCAACAAAGGAGAAGATGGCAATGATGAAAAGCTTAGGAGATAACTTTCCCGCAGGGATGACTAATCCGCACAGTTAAGCTAACAAATCCACGGACCCGAGCTCAACACTGCGGACACTCATACATTTACGCATTACATGTACAAGCACTCTACACAGGGTGACTAAAAAGTACATTGTTAAAATATATAGTATCAAACATTTAATCCAATTTATCTCCACTGTTCTTACTAAATATATCATTACTTTAAAATCATTATTTACATTAAAACAATAGTTAAATTTGACATTGTATAATGTCATATAATGTATATAATTATATTGTATAATGAATTTAATGTAAATATTTTAATGTAAATAACGATGTATTTAGCAGGAGAAATGGCAACTTAATTTAGATTAAATTTTGACATTATAGAATTTAAGTAATTTATCAAATTACTATATATTTGTAGCCAAACATCTTTGTCACCCTGTATACATATTTATACTCATACGCTTATATACATACATGCATCGGCTAAAACTTATTTTTTCTCACCTTTTGCTTTCTTTTCCAAAGAAATAATTAAATCTTATAAGAAAATATTGGAATAGAATTTTTCTATTAATTTTTTATATTTAAAAGTTAATTTTTTTATTATATTGAAAAGACGTAACTTATTTTTCTAAATACGCCTTCTAAATCACACACACAATGAAATATTTATAATCATACCATTTCACAGTAACGGAATATTTTATGAGTTTAAGTTTGAAAGCCTCAAAAGAATATTAAATAGCATTAAAAAGTATTAAAAATATTTTGTACGTCGATAAGAAAAATACAGAATAATTTTCTTTCTTCCGAAAAGAAAATAACAATGGCTATTTCACGAAAAACGATGTGCTTTCGACGCTACTCTGAAAACAACCGATTTCAGCCATAATGCGTTTAATCATCAAGAAGTACTTCCGCGAATCACTTTCTGTATACGCTACTTACTATCTATTTTTACTCACTTCGTGTCTTCCGCCATTCCGAGTTGATAGCACCTCGGTGAGAAATGCGGAAATATCGCGAAAACGTCGAGAAAAGTGACGAGAATAAGAAGCCCTGGCTCTCTTTCTTTCTCTCTCTCTCTCTCTCTCTCATTTAGAAATCTTCCACGAGTCCCGAACAATTCAACAGAGTCGGTATGCTACGACGGACTCTCGACCGAGCTCTCGACTGCAACCGCTTTTGTGCCCCAGGGAATAGTGGAGGAACACCAAGCATGAGAAGGACCAGAGTAAGACATCGTAAGAGACGAATCCGTACAACGATGTCGGCGTATAATTGTGTAACTTCGTGGCTGCGACATACGAAACAATAACTGCTGGCAAATCGTATCAAACAATACCATGGCAGATTGCATCTTCCAACGTGCGACGCGCGTCTTTCCTTTTTTCACGCTGATCTTCTTTGTTCTTGGTCCTCGGGTCGACTTCGCCGTGTCCTCTTAACAAATAACTGCACGCTTCTATCGTTCCACGAAATCGTGATTCTCAAAGGCTACCGCCTTTGGTGAATCGCGGGAGAAAGGAGCGCGGAAAAGGTGGCGGATAAAACACGTTATCGGATACAAAAACGATTACGCCTCTTGACGCGCGAGTTTCGTGTAGGAAAGAGAGGGAGGAAGCGCAAAAGGGCGCTCGATGAAGAGAAAATGTCCTTTTCTATCGCTTTTTGATAATCTCCCGGGAATGTCGTCCCCTTATGATAAAAAGAAGTTTCTCCGATAATGGAACAAGGAGAAAAAGGCTACACTGTTAAAAAAAAAACTTTATATACATTTTCGTTATCCGCAGCATTATTGTGTTTTATAAGTGTGTGATGTCGCGGATATTTGAAATTATTATTTAAATTATTATGGAGAAAAAACTCAACAGATATATATATTAATCATTAATATATTTTAAGCAATAAGTGACTTTTGTTATTCCTTGACATAAAATTTTTTTATGCTTATTTTATTTTTACATTTTTATATTTTAGTTTTTTTTACAATTACATGAATAATATATTACGATATTTAAGATTTTGTTTATTTTATATCTATATTCATTTCAGACCACTGTTATGCCCCAATATAATATTACTTTGTGTACATCTTGTAAAAGAGAGATCATGAAAAGGTAAATTTATACTCTTTTCTTTTATTTCTTTTTTTCTCATTTTTGCATACATTCGCATAAAAAAATTATTATCGGATTTTGTACACAGGATAGATTATAATAGACTTCTTCACAATTCTGAAATACAACAGAAAATTAAATTTTTTAAATGATTTTTATTTTGCATTTTATAATACATTATAACTTTACGAATATATGCTATGAATATGAAACTTCATAAATCATCAACAACGAATTATTTTTCAAATTCACGTATGTAGTTTCTAAAAAATATGTTAACAAATATTTCATATTATTTTTTACGCGAATATAGAAAAAATATTAAAGACTTTAAAGAAACTAAAGTTTAGGATATAGCTACTTTTGTGTCATTTTTATATAAATATTTTTTTAAGTATAATTAATGCAAATATGATATGACCTTAGTGTTTCTATTAATAATAAATAATTTTATGCAAATATTATAACACATATATGAATAAGTATTTAACATACACACATACATGAATACTAATAATAATGATAAAAATTAAATTTATGTAAAATACAAGTATTATCTAAAATTTATTATATTCCACTTATGAATTATCTGATTTTATATCATATATAGTAATTGCACTATATACGAGTAATTTATATATCATTATGTGCTATAAAATACTTATTATGTGAAAAATATTTGCCAAATGTCGACAGATAGTGATACATTACGATATATATATATATATACATTATATTGTAATAAAATACAATTTTTTTTACAATATAAGTAAAAAAACGTAAATTAATTCTAAATATATTTGTTTTATAGAATTTTCAAATTAATCCTAGAAAAAGAGAAAGGGAGAAGAATATGTTATACTATATTATTTATATATGTTATACTATATCTCAACAAAATTACCTTTTTAAAAAAAAGGAAAAAAAGGCGCCAAGTGTGTTAGCCTCACAAAATAAAATGAAATCTTTTTAGATTGCGCCAATTATGAAAGGAATATATTTTCTTGACACATATATAACATACTTTATTTCAAAAAGTAAAAGTACAAAAAACTTGGCGCTGCTAGACCTCAAAATATACAATAATAAGATGGTTATTAAATAATTCCGAATATGAAAAATAATAAGAAATTAATAGAAAAAGAAATAAGGACTCGTTATATAAAAATAAACAATATGAAGAGTCAAGGGCGATATAAAAAAAAATAATAAGGTCTCTCTCTCTCTCTCTCTCTCTCTCTCTAGCGATCGAACTGTATCTTAGGTACTAATTATAATTCCGTGAGAATTTATATAAAACTGGCATCAAAATTCTCCTCTCCTTCTATGTTGATTAGCGAAATTAGAAATTGCACACCTGCAGCTTTAGCAATTTTTTTCAGATCAGCTTTTTTGCAACGAGAAGTCTAGACATGCGATTTTCGCGTTCGTTATCCTTTTCGACATTGCTTGAGAGGCGACAGTAGAGTTCAAAGCACAGCCTAGAACCAAAATCGACTCTCGAACACTTTTTCCGTGAGCTTGCAAGACATTGACTGCTTTAATAGGATACAAAAATCCTCCTTTGCCATCGCTGATTTTTATCTATCTAATGTCATTACGTTGACAGCTAATCGATATAAAATAAAATATGCTAGCAAGCGCCGTCTGCCGTTTAAAACGTGAAAAGGACAACATTTTTTCAACAAAACGCCGTCTGTCGTTTAAAACGTGAAACGGACAACATTTCCGATGTTAAAATTTTTGACATTTCAACTTCACATCGAGATATCTTCCTTCGTAGGGTACGTAGACAATAAAAACATATTTATAATATAATTTAAACGATAAAACTAAATTAAGAATATGTAAAAATTGATAAATTCAGCCATTTATTGTGAGATCCGATAATCTCGGGTACACGGAACTCATCGACTCGCGTAAAGATACACGTGCGGTCTCGCGCTTCGCGTTCACTTGGCGCGAGACACTACCGTGTCTCTTGATTATTTATTTTGAGAGAAGTAAACAAATGTATAGTAACTCTTTGTAAACAAAATATATCCTATTAAAAAATTTATTACAATCCACTATCTCTCTTACTCTCGTTAATTATGCATTTACATCGCACTTTCATTATAACTGTCCTGTGCATTATTATATGAAAATCAGACAGGCAGGGACTTTCCACTACGACAATATAATTATTTAGCAAGCATGAATTACGTTTCAACGAACAATTATTGATGACAGTGATATAAATTTAAAACTGCGCGATCCGATTGCGGCAATTACGTAATGTTACTCACAACGTGGTAAACGCGCGCGATGTGAATAATAATTTATTATAGATCTTCTGAAATTTTTAATATATTTCCTTGAAGTTTATAGATTATTTTTAATATGAATGATAAAATTTCAACTCTAAAAATTTATAATTTTTTGCAAACAGTCTACGATTATTTATAGACATATGAATAGTAAAATTTAATACTTAATATATTAAATATTTGTATAAAATACAAACATTTTAACAATTTACTAATATTTCAATTTTTATTTATATCATTATATGCACATATCAAGAATTAATCAATCTTTTTCTTTGTAATTACTATTATTTTTGTAAGATTAAATATGATTTTTAACAATTTATAAATAGCTACTAGTGTACAAATTAATGTTGTAAATATGATAATTGATAAAATTGCTATGACGTCCATATCGTGTCTTTGATACCAAGGATCATGACCAATATTGGTACGAAGATGAGAAGCACCCTTATGACGAATGATGAATTCAATCCACCAAATGACATGTTCTAGTATATCATAAGGCTTATCTTCATTAAGCGCTTTAACTTTGAGCATTCTTTTTTTATATCTAGAAAACAGTAATAATATATGTTACATAAAAAAATTATATATATATATACTATTAATAAAAATTATATGAAAGAAAATGTACTATTTTACAATTACATTTTGATTATAATTATATAGATTAAAAATTTTGTATAAAAAAATAATGTTGTATAACAATTAGATACCTATTAAATATTATTTATTATTAGTTATCTATTAAATTAGATGTTTATGAAAATAATGAATAACGTGACACAAGATAATTGTTACAAAAAAACCAATACCCTTCATCATATAAAATATCTATTATAGATTCATTCAGATTTTCTCTTGATATGTCTATAATATTTAAATATTTTGCAACTCCTAAAGATACCATTTTCTTAATTTGACTATACTGATCAGCTAGAACTGGTAATCCTAAGAGTGGTACTGTATAATATACAGCTTCTTCCGTGCTTTGAAGACCACCTTGATATATGAATAATTTAATGTTTGGATGAGCTGTAAAACAAAAAGTAGAATTGGCTAATGAACGGATACGTAAATATATATTTTTGTTAGTCTGATTAAATTATGGCATTGCATAGATTTACCGAGAATGCTCTGTTGAGGAAACCATTTAGCAATAAAGATATTGTCTGGTTTATTTGGTAATTCGCTATCATGTTTCCATAGGATTTTATATGGCAAGCTTGCAAATACATCTCGAAATGTGCTTTGTATATGCTCCGATAATGATGAGAATCGAACATTTGTGCCTAAACTCATATAGATAAATCCATTAGGTGCATCTGTTATAAATTCATTCAAATTCTGAAATAAAATAATATTCTTATTTATATATATATTGCGTTCAAAAAAAAAGTATATATATGCATATAAGCTGAAAACGAATTTTAGTCATAAAGCAAATAAAAATGTTATTTCTTAAACACAATGAAATTTTAACAATATATTGTTTAAATACAATTATTACTTTTGGTAAAGCTATAGGTTTTCTTGAAATATGAAAATTTCCAAATGACATAACATTTGGTGTACGTGGTCTAACAAATGAAAGAGTTTCTCGTTGATTGTGGAAAACAAAACTTATATTTCTTTCGATGTCACTTATGTCCGGTATATTTTTTCCAAGATATTTTTCTGCTATGGCTTGCTGCTTAGAATAATAATGATTTAATGTACAATATATGTGATACCATTGACGAATGAAATTCTTAATTCTCTGCCACAACGATTGATTAAAAACGGTATCTTCCATTTCCCAAGCCGAAGAATGTGATGGCAGAACAGGTGCACCGAGTAGGTAATAGTTATGATTGTACAATCCAAATGTTGAAACACCTGTAAATAAATATAGACATACAATATATAATAGAATGGGTTCTTTGAACACAGTTAATTTAAACAAGATTTGGGTTTAAAAAATTATAGATGAAGGTAATATTTTAATATCATTATAAACGTGTATTACATATTTGAGAAGTAATTAAGTTAATAATTTGTTCATATATATATATAATAATATAATTGTTATTTCTTTAAATTGTAATAGTGAATCACAATGATGTAAAGAGAATGCAAAATTAATAAATAACAATAATACACTATATAATTTTCTAATTAATTTTACGAAATAAAACTTATTTAGATATAATATTAGTTACGAAGTTTATCTATATACACTGAGAGAAGTGTTTATTATGAATAACCGAAGCTTTGTTACTGATGCAAAAACTGTTTGTTCGTAACCTAGTTATCATGGCAATATTATTATTGACTTATTAAATAAACTAATAATTCAATAAAACACACACACAACTGTTTTATATACATATATTGTAATATTTAGAGATTTTTATGATTGAAAATACAAGATTTTGTTATCGAAACAAAACAATTACGTAAAAGTGATATATGTATATCTATTTCTTTTAACAGATTACATAAAATTATGTTTGACGTTTTAAATTTTACTAGCTTTATAAACGTATATATTTAGATCGTTTTGTTAATAATTGTCCTGACAAAAATAGTTGTCGCTGTATATGATCGACCATGATATGGCGAGAAATGCATGAAATTGATTTTTATGATGCGTTACATCTCACGATTAATGCATCATTTTATCTTTACTATTCAACGTATATTAAAATAGTATAAAATAATATACGTATCTGATAGCATTATACATGAAACGAAACGCACTCTAAACTATTCCCGCTTTATACAGATGTCGAATATTTTTTACGAGAAAACATGACATCTGCAGTGAGAGCTCGATCTATATTAAACACTCTTCGATCTACCACATAATATAGATTATTTTATTTTAATTACAAATTTGTTTTATAATTGCAAACAAATTTTAAATTGTTATTTACAAAATGTGGATAATTAAATTGTACTGTTAAATAACAAAGTTTACTTATTTTGTTCATTTTGCAAATTTCGCTTATTTATGGTAACAAGAGATACTTCATTTTGCTATTTTAACAAATTTTACTTATGAATAATTTTTTTTTTTACAATAACTATTACAATTATTGTTACTTTTTATTCAGTATATGTATAAATATAAAAAACAAAAAATTTGAAAATAGAAGTAACCTTTTTTTCGATATTTTTTTCACTGAAATAAAACAAATTTTAAGTAAAACATTTATAATAATTTTATATATATCATTATTCTTACCTATAAGTGGTGCGTTAAATCTATATGCTAAGGCATACATGCTGGGTGATTTTATAGTTTCTACAATTACTACGTCGAATTTTGTATCACTATTCGGTTCGTACATCTTACGTACTTCCGGATGCTTATAAATGTTTTCTGTTATTTCATGACACAACGGCCATAATTGTTTGCGTAATATATCTAGCCATGTATGGCTATACTCCATATATTCAATAAAATTTAGTTTTTTAATTAGTTTGTAATTCGATTTAAAGTTGATTTCTGTCAAATTGGTCAAACTGGGGTCATTGATTGGATCAGTTGTTAAGACGATGATTTCGTGTCCTCTCCGGCTTAAAGTGGTCCATAATAGTCGATAAGGAATTTGGTGACTATAAGATGGTAGTGGAATAATTGCTAAGATCCTTGCAGTTTCTATTGGAGTAGCAATATATGCAAAACACGCTATCCAAAATGTCATTTCGGTAATCGGTTTCATTTTACTGTTGATAATAAGTAAAACTTAGTAAAAATTAATTTTCATTACTGATAATTCAACAAAATATTTTCTTTTATTTATACGATCGTTCCAATTTTTATCTGTTTAATTTAATTTACATTATATACAGTATAGAATCTTAAAAATAAATGCGCATATACATATTTATAACATAGCTTATTTTAAGTTACTGTATTATACCTATGTGAAGTTAGCACCTTGTTATTAAAAAAATTAATTTGTGATTTAGTTCTAAATATATGTTGCACTTTTTAAAGTTTTAAAGTTCTTTAATAAAATTAAAAATAGTAATATTAAATTTAGTAAAAAGAAACCATATGATAAATTTACGAGGTGTAAATTTAAAAAACAAATTAATATTTTTAAAAATATTATTTTTGTTATTTTATGTTGTAAAATTGATACTTTAAAAATTTATCAACTGTTTTTTTTTTTTTTAGAGTTTTGGCTGCGTTTTGGGAACTTTATTTTGTTCAATAGTCTCACTCACGTGAGACTAAATGCAACCTATACATTAGGCCCCAAAATATTATAGGTCTATATAGGATATAAACGCTCTGTTTGAGACCTCTCTTAGGTGAGGTAAAGGTCAAGGTATAGGTCAGGTCATTGGGTGTAAACTAGGCCATTATTTTAGCTCATATTTAGACATTTAAGCGTGTATTTACCTACACATGTGCACTAAGAAATTAAAAAATCATGTATTAAAAATAGGTAATTTTTAAGAGTGTAATTTTATTAAAAATATAATAAAATATTCCAAAACGCATTTTAATATTTCTTGATATAAGCCAACACTAGTTGTTCGTATGAATTATAAATAACTTTATTAAAAATCATACAATAATGTAAATAAACGTTTCGACCTTTCGTTTAGGTCCTCATCAGTTTAACTTTAATCGAAGTATTAAAATTTACAAAGATGTTCTATGTCATGGGAACATGATGTACATTATGATTAAGATGGACCTCGAATTGTTTTGAAATGCAGTAATAAATATATTACATATATTTAGATTTAATCTCTTGAGCCTATAATGTTTTTATAGAATTCTTGATGTAACTTATTTTTTATGTAGTTACATTAATACAAATGCTGATTTGTTCAAACATAAAAACTTTTTACAAAGTTCTATAGCATAAATTAAAAATCGCACATGAAAATATCTTACAGCTTTCGAAAGAGTGCATGTTGTTTATTTTTAAGTTGTGTATTTATTAAGCGTAATACGATTCTTTTTCCACCAAGTTATTCAACATATTCTATCCTATATATAAAGAAAATGTAAAAAAGGCATGTGCGAGCGATTTAAGTACGTGTTATCGCTTTTCCAAACTGTTTTATCATTCATTAGACGTAAAATAAGGACAGAATTTGTTGATAGCATTGAAATTGCGCTCTTGGAACACAATATTTATAATATTTATCGAACATTTTCAATTTTACTAATAAATTTTAGAATTCTTAAAACGATAGTACACACAAAAGTGATAAAACGTAAGCAATAAGCAAATCAACATTTTGGATTTGCTGCACTTACATTCTAAATTACTTGAAGTAAAATCTCACTCCAAAAGAGTAAAAATACAGTCATTTTTGGAAAAGAGGAAAAATGTTTTACTTCTTGAAAAAGAGCGATAATTTTTACTCATTTTAAGTGAAATTTCAAAGAAAAGAAATCTCACTTCAAAAAAGAAATGAGATTAATCTCTAATTCTCCAAGTGACTGTATTCTCCAAAAATGATTGTATTTTTATTCTCTTGAAGTAAGATTTCACTTCAAGAAATTTAGAAGTATGTTATGGCATTACGATTTTTGATTTTTTTTCTTTTTGGTTAATTTGCTTGTTTATGTTTTCCTGCTTAAGTTTTTTTATGTGCCATGGTCTTAAAAAAACATTCAGAATTGTAAGAAAAAGTTAATTTTTAAAAAATTAATTGCTAAACTGCATACACATCATACGACTTTGCTTATATCAATATAAATAGTCATACAATTGAATTCTGCGTTATAACAATCAATAACTTAAAAACAATTTTCTTAAATTTTTCTATCGCTATGTAACTTCAAGTTATAGTCTCAATCCGTGTTTCGGTAAAAAGTGAAATTTACTTGAAATCGATGGATACATTGCGCGTATACATTCGATGGACCGTGACAGATTGTAAAAACTTGCGGAATAGATGAACCGAAACTGTGGAGGTTCACATTTCTTTCATTCTTTGTCATCTTTATTTTTTAAAGCGCCTATTTCTCTATCTGACCACACCGATCAAGTCCTATTTTTCTTTCCATCGCAAGAAAGTGAAATCTGACTTTCTTGTTGCCATAACACAGAACAAGTAGTAACACGGAACATAGTTTGTAATAAAGTTTACTAGTGCAATTCCAACAAAAGTGCATGTTAATTAAAGATAATTATAACTAAAATGAGGTTCAAGTCTTCAATAAGATTATAAAATAATAGTTTGTCTAAAATTAGACATGATACATAGGGTGTCCGAAATTTAAATGTCAAAACTTCGGAAGCGTGTAGGGGATCGAAAAATTAAGAAAAAAAATCCTGTGTGTGTATATATATATATATATGCTTGTTTTTGCTTCATTTTGGAGAAAATCGTGAAAAGATAAAACGTATTTCATTTTTATACTTTTTTTATTATTCACGTTGTATTTATTCACTTTCTTAATGTAAATATTGTTCAAAACGTTATGGTTTTTTATAAACATTGCATTTAGTACAAACAGCTCATGTTGCAGCTAAACATTAATCTGGTGATATTTGACCTAATAGCTCTGGAACTTTTATGAGTCCATACATGATAATTTCTTTGATTAATAATTCTTCCTTTTATAAATATAGCTTCATCTGTCCAGATTATTTTTGATAGAAATAAATTACCATTGTTACATTGTTCAAGAAACTAACATTCAACATCTTGAAATAATTATGAGATACTAAATTCTGCACTTTTTGAATATGATACGGATGGTGATTATCATCTTTTAAAGTTTGGCAGTAAAGCAATCGTTATTTGTGTCGTAAGCAATCATAATACAGCTGATGCTCTCCGGATGCTGGTCTCGAGATTGTTATAAAAGTGGCGTACAGGACACGATTTTCTACTTGCATATTTGCTTTCAACGGATAATTTTAAAAACTTGATAAATTGAAAATGAGCCGATCTCTCGTAGCCTATTAAAAACTATTGTAATGACTCGCCGATTCGGTACTCTTCCATTTGAAAATTAGCGTGCATACTCTCGTACCGCCTCCGTAGCATTAACGTTGCAGAAACCATACACGAAAACCATATTATCATATTCAACATTAAAATATGTACGTGGTATATTGTGACAGGAGTAATTCACTCGATAGCTTCTAATGAGTAACTGACAAATTTATAGGAGAAAGGCAGAAATTTAATTAACAAAACAAATTATCACCTAAAAACGGAATTATTATTATTATTTTCAAATACAATTTTTAGCGACGATAATGTTTCAAATCAAGAATGAATTAAACTACGTTTTGTCTTTTTTGCGATTTTCTTCAAAACGAAGCAAAAACGAACATATCTCTGCAGGACTTGTTTTCTTAATTTATCGATCCCCTACACGCTCCCGAAGTTTTAACATTTAAATTCCAGACATTTTCAGACAAATTCCTGTATATCTAACAAAAAGAAAGAGATAAAATGACAAAGTATACAGTATCTTATAAGAAAGTTACAAAAATTAATGTTTTTTTACTTACAGTTTTTATTTGATTAAAGAACCGATTTTATAAAATATTAAAATTAATAGCTTTAAGATAAACTTATTTACAAAAAAAGTACGCTCTTCGCAATAGTTTCTTCGACCAATACTGAGATAATAACAAGTTAGTACTGTTCTTGAATATAATTCTTAATATTATTCTTGCCTTCATATTTCTATATAGACCAATAACTTCGAATCTTATATCTTATCATTCTCCCTTCTTCTAAAGCATTTAAAAATGTATGATTTACACATCAATAATATTAGAATATTTAACGTATTTAAATTCGCATTGGAACGAAAATGTCATTAACTAATATTTTTTAAAATGCGATATTTTGACGTTGCCGTCACATATCGGATATGTATTGTATCGAATCGAGGATGATGGACATGAAGCAGGAATAAAGGCCGATAAAGATAGAGCGAAGAAGAAAGAAAGTTATATATACGAATTATAGTTATAATATATTATATATAGTTATAATATAATAAAAAATATTCTGATGTGGTGAGAGGTATCTTGATATTATTATTACATTATTATTGTACAACGAAGATTTCAACAAATTTTAAGTAATAATTAGAGGCTCAGAAGAATAAATCAAAATTTAATTAAATTTTGAAAATGTTCAATATAACAAATAGCAAACTTTTTCAATTGATTAATAATCGATGAGCAACAAGAGAAAGAAAAAGAAAGGGCGTATCCTCAGATTATGCGAGAGAAGCTGCCTCTCATAAACGCTGAAAATGATGAGCAGTTAGTCTAAAAGCCGCCCATATCTTTCTCAACTATTCTCGCCCTATTTTTTACAAAAATGTGATATTTAATTCTCCAGCTAATTTCACCCCCCCCCTCTCTCTCTCCCTCTCTCTCTCTCTCTCTCTCTCTCATGAAAAGAGCCTTAAATTTTACAGATTCTACAGCTGAGGCTGAGATTCAAAGGATCACATTATCGGGCTCTCTTGCTATTCATCAGAATTATGGAGCAAGAAAGATCAAATCAGAAGTCAGACCGGCATCTTTAGATTGTTTGTGTATTTTCGCTGTGCGGGATTAGCTTAATCCGATCGGGCTTGTGAATGCTGAAATTTTGAAAGCTGTGCCAATAAGACAGTCTTCCCTATATTTTATATGTCCATACATATATGTATATGTATATGTGCATGTAAAATTAATATGACAAGCGTTTTATATTTGTCTCTCAATACAAAAGGTACATGAAACAATGTCTTCAGTGAGCGAACATGAAGACGATACGTACTCAAAATGTATGGAAAAATTGTATTAAATAATTGAATAATGAAATAGAAAAAAATATATCACAATGGATGTAATAAGAAAATTTTTAAATAAGTACAAAAAGATATCTACTAGACCTTAGGTTTTTATTTTTAACAATATGACAATTTTTTTTAATAGTTTTGGTATACAGATCTTTGCATTTCGATTTTATTTCTCAATAGCAGCATAAAAACAATATTCTTCGATGATAATATATATTATATGAAATGTATATGTACAAGTGGTTTTTACGAAAACAGTGAGTGCCTTCCAACAAGCGACACACATGACACGGTACGACACAGTGTATCAGTATGTCCTTGTTGTTCACCAATGTTAAACAAGGATGAGATGATCACTGTATCGCAACCGTGTCGCTTGTTGGAAAGCACAAAATATAAACAATCCAAGACTTACCACTAGGACAAAATGTCATATCGGCTCTCCATAGAATTACCTATATGTATATTTATATACGAACACAAATAAGTTTATGTATATGTATGGTACAAAAGTACACATATCATATGTAGACCTGGACACAGTAGTTCCCAAAATTTTGACGTGTTTAGACGTCAGCAAACAATTTGAAATTCAACCGTACTTCTTCGTTCTGATTATAACGCTGTAAGTAAGCTGTAAGTATTAGAATATAAGTTATTAACGCTGTAAGTAAGCTGTAAGTATTAGAATATAAGTTATTAAATCATTAAAGCCCGTATTCATAATCATACCTTATAATTAAAGCTTCTAGAAATTTATCTTCAGACGCTCAATAGCCTGTAATATAATTCGTATAGCATATGATGATAAACTTAAGGAAATTTTAAGTATAAGGCACAACTATGAATACGGGTACAAAATGTCTAACGCCAGAGATTATATTAACTTTAAACACCTGCTACATTTATATTTCAGTTTTGTTATAACATACCTATCTGTTACATTCTTATCAGATTTAATAAGATATGTTAGCAGGGCCGGGCATATTTCAAATAAAAGAGAAGAAGGTATTATATTTTGTATATTTTATTTCAAATTGGTTATTTAATATACTTTAATACAATTTTAAATACAATTTCCTTATTTTTATTTGTAATTGCAAGGAAATCTGTTCTTTTTGCTGAACTTTTGTACTAGTTCATCTTTTCTCTTCACCTGGTGAAAAAAAGAAGAACGATAAACTGATGCAAAAGTTCATCCAACAAGAACAGATCTAAGGATTACTAGGACCTAATAATAAATGATTTTTTTCGATATTTCATTTGAAACGAATCCATCACATTTGAGTTTAAATAAATTCTCTTATTCGCATTAACTCATACATAGCATTTTGTATTTCAAGTAAAAATTTTGGATGCATTTTTTATTTTTATATGAAAAAAAGAATTTTGTATTTGAAATAAAAAATTTCGATATACCTATTGGTACTTTGTATTTTAAACTGAAAAATTAAAAGCATTTTTAATAATGTAATTTAAATACAACAATATTTTATATTCTGTATTTTGTATCTCAATTACCTTTTGATGTATTTTGCCCGGCCATGACTATTAGCATATTATAACTTTAATGGATTATTAAAAAATTGCTTATTTCTATGATTTAACGAGGATAATAATTAAGTAAAATATATTTAGAACGTATTAACTACGAAGGCAGTATACGGAACATTACAATAAACTGAAATAGAAAATAACCCTGAAGAGTGAAAGTTTATATTCCCAAAATAAGAAATGAATCAACAAGAGGGAACAAGTAACGAAGAAAATATATCTTCGCAAAATCCTCAGCAGCACGGTAAGACTTATGAAGTTCAGAACTAAATTCTTCAGTTTTGATAACTTTCTGCATTGTATTTTAATAATTATCACATTTACGACATAGTTTCCAAATTTTCTTTATATTAATCGCTCTTATTAGTATTAAAATATGCACTCTGAATCTCCGACAAGTTCAAATCGGCATAATATAGACAAACATACTGAAATAAGACTACATAAATGCGGAATATGTGGTATAACATATATGTGTAAATCGGCAATACGTCGTCATGAAACAATTCACACAGTATAAAAAATAAAATGTTAATTTTAACTCAAAGACATTGAGTGAATTTTCTGAGATATGCAAAAATGTTAACATCGACACAAAAATGTTAATTTTAACATTTTTGCATGTCTCAGAAAATCCACTCAATGTCTTTGAGTTAAAATTAACATTTTTTTTTACAGAGCATATAATCGTATACATTTGCCGTTGTGGACAATTATTTAGGTGAGTGATTAAGTGTACCACACACACACATACACACACACACACACACACACACAAACACACACACACACGCACGCACGCACGCACGCACGCACGCACACAACATAAGAGTTAAAAAAGTATATCGATAATTCAATATAAATGATTAATTTAAGTAGTAAAAAATAATAAATATTGCAACGTCCTTTTGTAGTAAAGAAGAAGACGCAACACACCACATAGTGACACAGCATCCTAGTCAGGTACCTTTCGAACCTAATAAAAGGTTTAAGTCTAAGTAGAATATGCGTGTTCATGAGAGGATTCATAAAAGCGAAAAATCTTACCATTGCGTGTTTTGTGGAAAAATTGCGTGTTTAGGTGAGTGTTTATAGTGAATAACATACACACGAAACAAGAGTTAGGAGAATTCTTGTGAATTCAATATCAGTGATTAAATGAACTGGTCTAAAATAGTAAATATTGAAACTGTCATTTTGCAGTCGTAAAACAAACTTGAGATCCCACGAGGTGAAACAGCATTTCAATGAGGAACGTTACAAGTCTTATAGAGACCTACATACTAAAGGGTACATCTTATACATCCGAAACCTGTGCTAAAGCATTTAATTTTTTATCCAAACCAAGAAAATCGGTATTAATTGACCTATTTACATATCGAGTACATTTTCGCGAATTTTAGATTACTTGACTTTCTTGAAATTGAAATTATATATGTATTGTACTAAAAGACGTGGACACGCTGTTGCAGTTGAAATGACATTAACACTTCGGTGTCGAGAAGTGAACAATTAGAAGCTGTACATTTATTCACGTCCCGAATACAAAGTTTATGAAAATGTCGCGAATTTCTTTGTAGGGTTCGAATGAACATCGATATTTTAGTTAGAAACGAAATTGTAAAGATGAAACGCGTGAAACTGAGATTTCAAAAAAATGTCATACGATTATTTTTTTTTTAAACTTTTAGTTCACTTTGTTAATAATAGACAAAATCGTGAGATGGATTCAATTTTCGTAAACATTCAGTCAGGTCATTATGAGAATCGTCAGAAGAGAGGAACGACCTGCGTTAGGCTGCATCTTCCTTCTGCGTACGCCTTGAACAGGTGTAGTCAACAGTTATCTCTCACTGACGAGAATCGAAAGAAAGGGTATCGTAATCGAATTTACGAAGGGCTTATTTATTATGTAATATTATTGCGAGTGTGCCACCTTAATGGTATATACCATATTAACGTTTCTAGCGTTGTATTATTTGTGCTTTTTAGTATTTAGTAGACCCTTATTAAAAAAGTAACGACACAAAATTACATGTCGAAATCACGTGAGTGAGATAAGTATATCAACTAATGAATTGTTCGAAATCAGTGTATGATTTTCTAACATCCAGTAATTTGAAAAAACATACGATGATATTTTTAATTCCCTTTAATTATATGTATAATACAGTACTCTAAAATTTAATTGTTCTAAAGTCTAAAGTCGCACGATGAATGGAAATTATATTTAATATCACATGATTATTTAAATTACACAGTTTTCTTGAGTAACTAAATGAGTTAAGCAATTCGTCACGTGATTTATTTATCCAAATTACATTATTTTGTCATGTTAGGTACTTGGTGACATAACTTTTTAAAAATGTATTTACGCCTAATTAAGTAAATACTCATACATGGAAGGTACATTAAGCGATACTTTCCATGAGTGAACGTGAAGACGATACATACCCTAATGTATGGAATAATTTTATTAAACAGTCAAATAGTCTGAAATAGAAAAAAAAATATCACGATGCGCATGTAATAAAAAAATCTTTAATTGAGTATAAAAAGAAATGTACCTTATGTAAGATTTTTTTCATTTTTAAGAAATAACAAATTGTAATATTTTTGATTTATAGTTTTTTGCACTTTAATTTTATTTTTTAATGCCAGCATTACGACAAACCACAATATTCTTCGTTATAATAATGTGTATTTGTATGTAGTCGATAAAATTTTGTAATTTCATATATTGGAAAATATTATTGTATATTGAAGTTAAATAATATAGTACAGTTTCCTGATGTCATTGTTTATAAGTAGAATAAAAAATTTTATAAACTTTAACATTAAAATTTTTACTTGTTCATTTATAAGTTCTTTGATGTAATAATGGATGTAATTAGAAAATCTTTAAAAAAATAAAAGAAATGTACTAAATCTTTGGCCTTTATTTTTAACTGTATGATAATTTTTTATGGTTTTGGTATACAGTTCTTTGTATTTTAATTTGACTTCTTAATGGCAGCATTACAACAATATTCTTGGATGATAATGTATATTATGAATGTAGTCAATTCTGTACTTTTATATATTGTTTGCGAAATATATATTTAAGTTGAATAATCTAGTATAGTTCCCTGATATCATTGTTGATCAAGTGTAATAGAAAATTAATTTAATTTTAACATTGAAATATTTTACTGTTATTATATATATATAAATCATTAAAAATATTTTAATTTAAACAATACGTTTTTATACGATGTCTTATAATCTTCCGTCGTAACATAATATGACCCTTTAAAATTATTTAACACATTAATTTTGCTAGTCATGATTGTAATCAAAAGATAATAAGACGCTGCTTTTAATTCTCGTGGTTCAATAAAATTTAATATAAAATTGACATTGTACATATATATTTTACACACACACATGAAGGAAAATTAATAAAAACTAAATTAATTTAAAATGAGTAAACGTTTATATCACAAAATAACAATACATTATATAGGTTGTATATGTACAAGTGATTTTTACGAAAACAGTGGATGCCTTCCAACAAGGGACACACATGACACGGTGTGACACGGTGTATCAGTATGTCCTTGTTGTTCGCCAATGTTAAACAAGGATGAGATGATTGCTGTATCGCATGGTGTCGCTTTTTGGAAGGCACATAATATAAACAATATCGAAGACTTGCCAATAGAACAAAATGTCATATCGGTTTTCCATAGAATCACCTAAATGTATTTTTATATACGAACACATATAAGTTTATGTATATGTATGGTACAAAGGTACACATATCATATATAGACCTTGACAGTAGTTCCCAAGACTTTGACGTCTTTAGACGTCAGCAAACAATTTGAAATTCAACCGTACTTCTTCGTTCTGATTATAACGCTTAAGCTGTAAGTATTTTCATTTAAGTTATTAAATCATTAAAGCCAATATCATACCATAATCATACCTTACAATTAAAGCTTCCACAAATTTATCTTTAGAGGCTCAGTAACCCGTAATATAATTCGTATAGCATATGAAGATAAACTTAAGGAAATTTTAAGTTAAGGCACAACTATGAATACGGCGGGTACAAAATGTCTATCGCCAGAGATTATATTAACTATAAATACTTGCTACATTTATGTTTTAGTTTTGTTATAACATACCTATCTGTTACATTCTTATCAAATTCAATAAGATATGTTAACAGGGCCGGGCATATTTCAAATAAAAGAGAAGAAGGTATTATATTTTGTATATTTTATTTCAAATTGGTTATTTAATATACTTTAATACAATTTTAAATACAATTTCCTTATTTTTATTTGTAATTGCAAGAAAATCTGTTCTTTTTGCTGAACTAGTTCTTTTTTGTACTAGTTCATCTTTTCTCTTCACCTGGTGAAAAAAAGAAGAACGATAAACGGATGCAAAAGTTCATCCAACAAGAACAGATCTAATGATTACTAGGACCTAATAATAAATGATTTTTTTCAGTATTTCATTTGAAACGGATCCATCACATTTGAGTTTAAATTATTTCTCTTATTCGCATTAACTCATACATAGCATTTTGTATTTCAAGTAAAAATTTTGGATGCATTTTTTATTTTTATATAAAAAAAAGAATTTTGTATTTGAAATAAAAAATTTCGAAATATTGGTACTTTGTATTTTAACCGAAAAATTAAAAGCATTTTTAATAATGTAATTGAAATACAACAATATTTTATATTTTGTATTTTGTATCTCAATTACTTTTTGATGTACTTTGCCCGGCCATGACTATTAGCATATTATAACTTTAATGGATTATTAAAAAATTGCTTATTTCTATGATTTAACGTGGATAATAACTAACAAGTAAACCTACCTAAGTGTTAATCTCCGATTTTGCTGTGCTTTGGATATGTTATAGAACATGAAAAACTAAGAGACACGTATTTTTTTATATCTGCAGATAAACGCTTTTAGGGGTGAAACAGCCCCCCCAAAATTGGGGCGAAAGTGGAAAAATGGCGATATCTTTGAGGATGGTGAAGCGATTTTAATGATTTTTTGTATTTTTAATGATTTTACTTTTCTACCAAAAATCATTAAAATCGCTTCACTATCCTCAAAGATATCGCCATTTTTCCACTTTCGCCCCAATTTTGGGAGGGCTGTTTCACCCCCTAAAAGCGTTTTACCGCAGCTATAAAAAAAAATACATGTCTCTTAGTTTTTCATGTTCTATAACATATCCAAATCGCAGTAAAATCGGAGATTAACACTTAGGTAGGTTTACTTGTAAGTAAAATATATTTAGAACGTGTTAACTACGAAGGCAGTATACGGAACATTACAATAAACTGAAATAGAAAATAACCCTGAAGAGTGAAAGTTTATATTCCCAAAACAAAAGAAATGGATCAACAACAGGGAACAAGTAGCAACACTGAAAAAAATGTACCTCAGCAGGACGGTAAGACTTATGAAGTTTAGAACTAAATTCTTCAGTTTTGATAACTTTCTGTATTGTATTTTAATAATTATCACATTTACGACATTGTTTTCAAATTTTCTTTATATTAATCGCTCTTATTAGTATTAAAATATGTATTCTGAATCTCCGACAAGTTCAAATCGGCATAATATAGACAAACATACTGAAATAAGACTACATAAATGCGGAATATGTGGTATAACATATATGTGTAAATCGGCAATACGTCGTCATGAAACAATTCACACAGTATAAAAAATAAAATGTTAATTTTAACTCAAAGACATTGAGTGAATTTTCTGAGCCATGCACAAATGTTAACATCGACACAAAAATGTTAATTTTGACATTTTTGCACGAGGGGGTAATCACTTAATGTAATCGTGGGACAGAGTCCCTGAAATCATTATAAAATTTGTACAAAATTTCGATATATAATTCGACA